GGGGCCCCTAGCCCAAAACAATTTGCAACGCTTATCAACAATGTATTTTCGTTTGTCTATTTTAGAGGGCCTACATTCTTTGATCCTCTGCCTACAAGGGCCCCTGACTCTATAGGGCCTCTGATGGAAACATGGAGGGAGGGCGTTTGGCTGCCAAGGGCCCTTGAATTGTGGTGGTTGTGGTGGTGGTGCTGGTGGTGCTGGTGGTGGGGGGGGGGGGCCCTTGCGGACGTTTTGCCCAGGGGCCCACACAACCCATAATCCGTCCCTGACTCAGCGTTGTACTCAGCGTTGTACTCAGCGTTGTACTCAGCGATGTACTCAGCGATGTACTCAGCGTTGTACTCAGCGTTGTACCCTCAATACTTTTCTTCAAACTTTTGATGCCCAAAGATATATACTAAGCCATGGCAAAACCCAGCCTTACACCCACCCACACATTCCAAATTAAAAGAACCCATCTATCCATCCATCCATCCATCCATCCATCCTTTTTCTGTATCCATTTGTCCTTTGTGGGGTTTCAGGTGTCCGGAGCCTTTCCTGGAAACTCCAAGGCAGGTAATAACTGAAGGCCCTGTGATGCCACCTCATCACAGGGCACACGCATCATTTACCGGGGGCGCTGCTAGAGAGTTTGGGCCCCATATCATATCGGGCCCCCCAATCCAGACCACTCCAGTTATGTTTTTTAGGGCCCCAGTCACTCAGGGTTCTAACTGGTTCTAACTGTCCAGTTTCCTGGTTCTAATTTTAAAAGATCATGTCCCATGCAGCACAGGGTGCCAGGTAGGACATGACGTATTTAGAGGTAAGGAGCACACACTGATTACACTGCATTGCCACACCCACCACCTCAGGGGTGAGAACCTGAGTGCAGCCGTGCGGCAGGTGATACCTCAGCACCACACTAGTCCAAACAGACCAGTGTGTGGTTTTTCCCAGTGGCTGGAGTCCCAATCCTGCCTCCAACCCCCAAATTATTCCCTGTAAATTGCAGGACCTGCTTATAGGGCTGGATGTAGATTAACATCATGCCCAGAATGAAGCAATTGCAGGTTAAGGGCCTAACGGAATAAAATCACTCTGGGCATTTATGGGATTTGAACCAGCAACCTTCCAATTGCTGGCACAGATCCCTAGCCACCACTCCATCCATATGACATATACAGCAGTGGAAAAAATTAAGAGACCACAGCACAACTTTTTGTTTCACTCATTTCTCCATTTATGGTTGTGCGTCTGTGAATAATATATATTTTTCTGCAAACTGCAGCCTGGTTCTTCCCTGCTTCTCATTAATGAAGGGCTTCTTCCTTGCTTTATGGGACTTCAATCCTGCTTCTAGGAGCCTGATACAAACTATCCTAGCAGTGCATTTCACACCTGCACTTAATGTTTCCTGTTCTGTTTGAAGGTCACTTAATGTCATCCTTCAATTCATGAGAAACTGTCGGGTAAGTTAGCGGTCATCTCTGCCATCTTCTGCCCTTTACCTGGCTGGTTTATGGTCATTCCCAGTGTCTTAGAAATTTTGAACCTGGAAGCATCTTGCTGCTTAGCATAGCCTCTGCCAGCAGAACCAGGATTAAACCAGGATTTAAAGATGCAGATTTGTTTAAAAATATAGAGTGGCTTTAATTTTTTCTGCAGCTGTATATCACACATACACATTTGCAAATGGAATTGAGTAGAATTCTTGAAGTTTATTTTAAATTTGGAGTGGAGGGCTACAGCTTAAATGGCGGGTGTTTAATGTAGATTTAATAAATAGGTTTATGTGCATGCAAATATGAAATAAACTCCAAGCTGAAAGCGAGATAGGCTGCTATAATTAAATCCGAGTTCGACTTTTCATACAGAGGGATAAATACCCCAGCATAAACATAAGGGGTTTGTATGATGCAAAGGGTTAAAAAAGTTGCCGATGGGCACATAGTGTTCGGTCACTATGCAGAGCCGCGAGTCTCCGGCTCTTTTCGGGGCGGCGACCGGGACCCGCTGGACTGTGACGCAGAAGCAGCGAGGTTCTCAGAGCCGCTCAAGTCTGCCAGCTCTGTGTAAGTGAACGGAAAACCTTCGGTCACTGGTCGTAGGCTACTCAAGAGAAATACACAGAAAATAAAAGAGCAGATATATTGGACTGCAGATGATCGCTAAAATCCAAGAGAATTTATATTGACATTTCAGTAGGATAAATACAGCTGCGACGCTTACTGTGTAAGCAGTTATTGACCGAAAACAAATTTAGAGCTCCAACTTTCAACAATGACGCGGAGTTTGTTTTTTGTTGTTGCAAAAATATTAAAATTATGTTTTCGCAAACAGATAACTCTGGTTAGATCATAACGCATTTTTAGCGCTATAAAACAAAGTTTGGAAAATGTCTTCAGATGAATCGATTATTTTACGTCAAGAATTAACAATCATGTTTTCCTCAAATACCTCCTGGACAAACCGCACTCATCGGCTGCCGTTGCATCCGATATGGTATCCCGCCATAGTCATCGCCGCGGTTTATGGCTTTATGATACTCCTCGGGGTCGTGGGCAACATCACGCTAATCAAGACGTTTTACGCCATGAAGTCGATGAGAAATGCGCCCAACCTCTTCATGTCCAGCCTGGCCCTGGGGGACCTGCTGCTTCTCCTCACCTGCGCTCCCGTCGATGCCAGCCGCTATCTGGCTGACGAGTGGCTTTTCGGCAGGGTGGGATGCAAACTCATACCCTTCATCCAACTTACCTCTGTCGGGGTCTCTGTTTTCACGTTGACCGTCCTTTCTGCAGATAGGTAAGCACCTCAAAGTACTTTCACGATCTGTAGCCTAATGTACAATTATCACGTTCTGCAGGTTTTAGAAATTCGAGCACCTTTAATATTAAGAAATAACATTATATTGTAATACATTTTGAATCACTCACGCTAGCAAAAACAGGACAACTCATAATCTATAAAATGTATAGGCGTCCACAGCTACCTTATGGCTGAGAAACAATGAGCTTAGTTCGAGACCCTGTAAACAGTCAAATTTGATGATTGAGTGATCGATAAAAATCTTTCATTTTCATCAGTATTTAAACAAAATGTATCCCTAACTTCAATATAGGAAATGTAAGTGTAATGCAACGTAATGACGTAGGACTCGATTTTATCCGTTGGCTGATCAGTTATGTCAATATAGATAAGATTCCAAAAACAAACAAACAAACAAATATTAATAAATGTATCACCGATATATCTTTAAACAGAGCTCACTCACTGGAGAAGTTGCTGAGAACCTCTGATATAATTCCTGCATTAGAATTTACGCTCTTCGTCCGTGATTAAACGGATTGTAATGAAACGATCCTTTATTTTTCATTTGCACAAGTACGAGTACATGCAGGTACACTGGAATGCTTCTCTTCGTCTACCCCCATCTTGCTCTGCATGAAACACACAAACATACAGCATATTTAATAAATTAGACCAAAGATGTGTTACTCACCGACTGAGTGTGGAAATATTGTTGTATGCCACATAAAAATGTTAAGATTGAAAGACATTTTCATATGAACACCGTTCATTTGTAAAGTGTTAAGTAGAACAAACAATATACAAGTGAGAGTTCAGAATTGTAAGATTCATGCTATTTACTTGTTTTACGGTTATAATGTTACTTGTAATAGTAGCATGTTTTATCTTTTATGTTTTATATTGTTTTAAAGCTGTGATGTTCGGGTTTATGAGAAATTGATGTGTCTGTTTAATTTTAGAAGAAAATTAACAATTATTATCAATTATAATTTATAGCCCTTTAAAACCAATATCTGTTTCGGAGATATTTTGGACTGACGAGAATACGCATTATTTTTCATTCATCCTGTATATAGATACCCTGTTAAACACATGATCGTTATCTTTTCAGTGAAGAATTCATTATTTTTGCCGTATCTCCTTAATCTTCATGCATTCTTTATATAATCATAGTCACATTCATCAGACCAAATGCATTACGCAATTCATATACATTTCAGACAATAGCTGTTCTTGAGATCAATGCTGCGTGACGTAACAAGCTGCATTCTGGAAAAGCGAACTCTATAATCATCATTTATATATGTGTGTGTTTGTGGGGTGGGGGGTTCGCCTGTCTTGTAACTAACTTCTCAGTAACTGTTACCATGCCACCAGTTCCATGTCTCTTATAGATAGATTTTCATTTATTTGTAATGGGATCGTGTTTACTGCTCTGATGCCAAAATCAGCCGGGTTAAAGACATAGTTGTAGCTGTAGTTCCCAAAAGAGTAACAGTCTGATGGTGATTAATAACCAGCGAGGTCCCATGTGACTCCTTAGGTTTTTCTGTGATGGTGATTCTTCATGATCAGTAAAATGTAGGAGATGTCCTTATTAGCTAAACAAAGGTGACACATTTGCTCTGGAGACACAGCAGATGTTACAAGATTCATTGATATTGTAACATTTCTTTAGCTGAAACTGTGTCACTGTGACAGTTGTGTTTGACTGGGTGTTCTTGGTCTTTGTCCCTCAGGTACAAGGCGATCGTCAGACCAATGGCTGTGCAACCCGCCAATGCTAAAGCAAAAATCTGCATCATAGCAGCAATGATCTGGATATTTTCCATGGCCTTGGCCATCCCTGAAGCCATCTTCTCTGACCTCCACACTTTCAACATCACCAGGACTAACGAGACATTTGTGACTTGCGCCCCCTATCCACACACAGGAGATCTGCACCCCAAGATCCACTCTATGGCTTCTTTCCTCATTTTCTATGTTATACCCCTGCTCATTATTTCAATCTATTATTCTTTCATTGCCAGAAGCCTCCTCTGGAGTGCATCTAACATGCCGGGAGAAGAAAATGTGCCTGTTAGAAGACAGGTAGGTGCCGATTCGTTGAGGTTGCACTTCTGCAGTTATATCTACATCTATACCGACTTAGTGTTTCAACCAAAATTAAAACTAAATCTGGATTCAACTTTTTCTCTTTTTTCTCTTTTTTTCTCAAATCTGTGCTGTAAGGTGGAGACCAGAAAGAGGCTGGCGAAGACGGTGTTGGTGTTTGTGGGCCTGTTTGCGATTTGCTGGCTTCCCAGCCATGCTGTGTATCTGTACCGCTCATACCACTACAGCGAGGTGGACACATCTACGCTCCACTTCATCTCCAGCATCTGCGCCCGCCTCTTGGCCTTTGCCAACTCCTGCGTCAACCCCTTTGCCCTCTACCTGCTGAGCCACAGCTTCCAGAAGCAATTCAACAAGCAGCTGTGCTGCTGCTGCCCCCTGGGCATTGGCCGTCCTGTGTCAGGGTGACCCCTTCCCCATGATTTTCATCAGGAGCACTAGCCAATCACAGGGCAAATTTGGCGTCATCTACAGTAACCAGCTGTGAAACAAGGCAGCGTGCTTTTGTCGCATATCCCTCTGCCTTGTTCAAGATGTGAATTCCTAGGAACTTGAGTGAACTTAGACGCAGAGTGGGACTGCTGGGTGAAAATGGTTTGTTGGAGGGGATAACAGCTCTGCAAAACTGCGCAGTTTGACACAAGAAGTACAAAAACAATAACTGATGGTAAATTAATTTAATCAGTCAGAAACAGACAGATTTTGATTATCCCACACATTGTTTCCTCAGTGTTGCTCACATCAAAATGATACAGCTACTGTAGGAGTATTAGAGAAATTAGCCGATTAAGCCACACCCACAACTGACACAGGTGTTTAATTAAGCACACAGCCATGCAGTTTTCTGTATGAAATATTGGCTGGAGAATGGGCTTTCATACAGAGGATGTTAATGAGTTTCAACTTGGCACCATTACTGGATGCCATTTACCAAATCTATGCCCTGCTAGAGCTGCCCTGGTCAAAGGGCACTTCACTATTGTGAAGTGGAAATATTTGGGGGCAAGTTCAGCAGCAAAGGGGTAAACTACAGAAACTCACATAAAGGGTCCTGATCACCGAACATCAATACTCTACCTGCATAGCCACAAACCGCACCAGCAATATTACAAAACCTAATGAAAAGCTGTCCCTCATACATCATTACAAAATGGTGTCCTTAGAGTGTATATACTTTGTTTTATTTTGTTTTTTTTTTTTGCAATGAGCCCCTCTAGGTCAGATCACCCAGTCACATGGCTTCTCCTACCACTACTATGCTGCTGACATCCAGATCTACTTGACATTCTCTTTTGATGCCACTACTCTCTGACTCGATCCCTGCATGCCTGGGTGACGCGGCAGCCTGGATGAGGGACCATCACCTCCAGCTTAACCTTCCCTCCCAGCCCTACCATCCACTATGACATCACTGTTCAGCTTGGATCATCCAACCTGTCTTCATCAAGGTCTGCCAGGAACCTAGGAGTGATGATAGGTGACCAGCTGTCCTTTGCTGAGCACATAACAGTGCTCTGCCAATCTTGCAGATTTATTCTATATAGCATCAGGAAAACCAGGCCTTTTCTGTCTGTGTATGCGGTTCAGCTTCTAGTTCAGGTACTTGATACCTTACAGTTAGACTACTGCAGGTCTCTATTAGCAGGTCTACAAGCCCGTGCTGTCAGACTCCTGCAGATGACTGACAACATGGTAGCTCATTTGACATTCATTCAACCTAAACAAGAGGCGTCAAACTGCAGTCCTGGGGGGCCGGAGCCCTGAGTAGCTTAGTTCTTTCACTGTTCCACCACAAATGATTCAGCTCAAGAGCTGCATGGTAATTAGCACAAGGAGTTGAATCAGGTGTGTTAAATGAAGGGAAACCCAAAAATGTGCAGGGCTCCGGCCCCCCAGGACTGCAGCTTGACACCCGTGACCTAAACGATCTCATGTCACACCCCACTTTGTCTCTCTTCACTAGCTCCTGATTGGCTCTCACATTAAGTTCTATTCTTTGGTGCTGGATTACAGGTCCATCAATGATCAGGCACTCATCTCCATCAAAAGGCTTCTCATGACCTATGTCCCATCTCGCCCCCTTCATTCAGCAAACCAGTGCGACTTGGAGATCCTTCCACCACACAAGTTTCACTCCAGACTCTTCTCTTGTGTGGTGCCCCAGTGGTGGAATGAGCTGCTGAACCACATCCAGTCATCAGAATCCCTCTTCCCCTTCAAGAAACACCTCAAGACCTATTTCTTCCATGAATTCCTCTATACTAGGCTGATGCCTCTGTATGTTCCCTGAATGTTCTTATGTTGCACTTCTGGTCCTTGAATAGCTTATTATGTTCTTGCTTTGTTAGAAGTTGTTGTGTGGTTCCAGCTCCAATCCTGCTTACACCTGTACCTGGGTCTTCACTGGAAGCTCAGCCTGGCTGCACGAATATCTAGTTGACTCCTTGACAGCATGTATGTTTGCAGTGTTCTAATTGCCGCACTTGTATGTCACTTTGGACAAAAGTGTCTGCTAAATGTGTAAAATGTAACTTAACAGTACTTGGATAATAAGTGTAGCTGAAAGTTGTATCTCAAGTGTAAGAAAAAAGTAGTATAAATATAATTATAGATTTTGTGCCTGACTCAGTTTTAATGGATTTTGGCTTCTAAAGAATGCAAGCAGTGATGCACAAAAGCTTTTTGGACAATTGCAACTGTCAAAAAAAGACATCTTGAGTAGTGCAGAACAACTGGGTGAATGTTCTTGAATCATCAGTTCAAGTTTTATTTGTTGTTAGCTGCTATTAAAAAAAAGTGGTCTGAGTTTTGATTGAGAGTTCTGCTGAAGAGAACACATACCTCCTTGTCAACATAACAGTGTTTTTCCCCGCATTGGAATGAATACAATACTCTGAATGAATACAATACTCTGAATGAATACAATACTCTGAATGAATACAATACTCTGAAGAAAAGCCAGATATCTGTGTATGTTTTGTTTTGCAATCGGTAAGTGTCAATAAAATTATTGTGTTTTAAGTGGGACTTTCTTTGAATCATAATGAAAGTAAGTACTGCTTCGCAATTTTTGTAAACCTCTTAGCCAGCAACTGTAATAACACAGAGTCAAGGTGCTCAGTGAGCGGTTTGATTGTTGTGTGACTGGATAGTACATTGTTGCAAAGAGCGACGAACCAGGTCATCCCAACCATACTGGCAGGTTTTCTGCCTAATGGTCCCTGAGTCTATCAAACATGGCACTACAGGAAATGGGGAGCTGTCTGTGCTCGAAGCCTCTGATTGGTTGGGAGGTTTCGGAAGTGTGCAAAAGTGGGGCTTAGGTACAGGTAGTCAAGCACCATTACAAATTCAAACAAACATGAAAGAGACCACATCTCATCCAGAGAGTTAGTGCTTGCTGCCCAGTGTGTACTGAGTAAACATGTTGTTCATTAATTACTTTCTATGTCAGGGGTGGCCAATCTTACCTGCAAAGGGCCGGTGTGTATGCAGGTTTTTGGGATAACCTGTAGGTCAGCTGTTCAAACCCAGGCGTGAGGACTCTTCAGCCAATCAGTCCTCTAATTAGTAATCTAATTAGGGAGTTGCAGCGAAAACCTGCATACACACTGGCCCTTTGTGGATAAGATTGGCCACCCCTGTTCTATGTTAACTACTTATTTCAGTGAACAAAATTACCCCAGTTGTTACAATGATTTGTTGAGTTTTATAAGTTCGTTTTGTTCAGTCTATTCGATGATTGGCTCATTGTGTAGCTCTTTCAAATAGAGGATCACGGAATTATATCATGCGATTTAAGATTGTGATGTACAGAAACACATTGGTGTACAGACGTCTGAAAGTGTCAGTATGGGTAATATAATTTAATATTAAGCATGATATGTAATGCAAGATATAAAATAAGTCTTTATTAAACGTAAAAGGTCTAATTTAAAATATAAGAATGTGGTTTGTTTTCCTTCTTGTGGAATACCTCAGCAATCCCGAAGTACATTTGGCTAGACTTCAAACGGGAGGAAATGGCAAATGATAAATTTACCCATGGGTCACAGAATGTTTTGGAACCTTTTGATCATTTACAGTAGCTCCCAAAATACAGGGTGAAGTCAGATGCTTCATGATAAATGGGAGTTTCGATGCCAAGTGCTTCACATTGGACTACTCCATTCATGTAAACAACTTTCAGGAATAACAATTACAGAAACGAAGCACAAATAACCCTATTTGTTATTATAAGCCTATTCTTGTGTGACAGACCAGCTATTTTTCTAGAGTCGTGTTCGACTAAGCAACTTATGACAGTTATCACTGACAAGACAGACTGAAGAGATTCAGATTAACAGGTTAATATTGTAACTTGCCACAGGTCTGTCTCAGTATCCATCCTCAGACAGTGAAACATGTGGTAGCAGTCTGCCTGAGGAGATGAGATCTTGAGATTGTCAGCTTGGAGTTCAACAAATAACCTGACACTGAACATCACGAAAACAATGGAAATCATCATCGACTTCAGGAGGCACAGCGCAGACCCAACCCCCCCCCCCCCCCCCCCCCACCTGCATAAACGGCGACTGCGTTGGGAGAGTCTCAGCCTTCAAATTCCTGGGTACCTTCGTCTCCGCTGACCTGCCCTGCACTGCAAACACCACAGCGCTCATTAAAAAGGCACAGCAGTGACATCACTTCCTGGGACTGCTTAGGAAGGATGACCTGGGTCAAGAGCTGCTGGTGACCTTCGCCCGCTCCTCCGTAGAGAGCGTGCTGGCATACTGTATCACAGTGTGGGACAGGAGCTGCCCTGAAGAAGGGAGGAGGGGGCTTCAGCATGTCATCAGCGCAGCTCAGAAGACTGCCGGCTGCTCTCTGCCCTCCCTACAAGACCCATACACTTCCTGCTGCCTCAGCAGGCCCCAAGACATTCTGAAGGACCCCTCACATCCTGGTTTTCACCTTTGACTTGTTTCCCTATGGTAGGCGCTACAGGTCCATCAAAACAAGGACAGACAGACTGAGGGACAGCTTCTTTCCCAGAGCCATAACAGCATTGAGCCTCAACATGCACTGACCGTCTCCGTCTCTCTCTCTCTCTCTCTCTCTCTCTCCCTCCCACATCTTCTCTCGATATGCAATAATTCTCTTGTGTAATAACCACAGCCAAGTGCAATATTTGCTCTATATGCAACATTTTACACTATTTGTAATTCTCTGTGCAATATTCATATTGTTGGTAATTCATTGTGTAATACTTGCATCATCAGTAATACATCTCTGCCCAGCAATACCGCATTTGTTGCTTAGCCACACTGCATTAACTGTATTACCTTATCTTTGTAAACATTACTACGTTCTATATGTTTTTTATTTGTATATGTGGTATATTTTACATTTTCTGTATAAATGATTGAATGTTTCCTTATATCTGAAGGGGTATATTGTTTGCAATTTTGTTATGCATGGTACAATGACAATAAAAGGCTTCTATTTGAAATTTTTCTAATTATAATGTTGGAACTGGTAAGATGCAAATTACTTAAATATCATTTAGCTCATAGGCATTCTAATTTCCCCAATTAAAAGATTCTGATACTGAGTTACAATGAAACAATACAAAAGATCTGTTCTAAGCTTAAGTAAGCTTATGATTTTGCAAATACCAGTGAGGACATGTTCTGTTCATGGGCAACATGATCATCGTACTTATCTCAGTAAATACATTTATATCTATATCCTGTTTGTGCTAAATTGGTGCAGAACTGAAATTTCCTTTCCTCCTTCAAAAAGATTAGATGTTCAGAACATTTAACAGATGCCGACATACGCTATATAGTCCAAAGTATGTGGACACCAGATCCAACATCTCATTCCAAAACTAAGGATTTAAATATTGAGTTTGTCCACCCCTTGCTGCTATAAGTGAGTCTGAGCTCAGACAATGCGTGTGTGCGCGTATATATGTCTCAAAGAAGAACAAGATATGATCGGTGAAACCTAAAGTATTTTAATGTATCTGTACATGTACTTGTGCAAATGGCAAATGCAGCATCATTTCATTTCTATTTAGGTGTTTCTGAGAAAGCTTCCCATTAGATGGTAGGACATCCTTGGATTTGCCGCCATTCAGGTTTTGTATTGTTGAGTAGAACACAAAGGAAAGACTCAAAGCAACGTAAAGCAAATGTCAACATGAAACAAACTGAAATTCCAGACAATTCAGGCATTTTTATGCTCTGAAAAAGAGAACAAGGCCGGGAAAATAAAGAGGATGTATGGTCACTCTTTATGTAAATTTGTGTGGTTTAACTCTTTGCAACTGAACTTGCTCCCAGTCAGGTTAAATACGTAAAGTAAGTATTGGCTAATTTGGTAAAGAATACATGCTCAGATTTTGATATATTATTGCTTGTCATTCTTGCTTCAATGCCATTTTAACTAACATTAAACAGAAATTGTTAGAATTAATCAATACAAGAACAATGATGACTTGGCTGAAGAACAAACTTGGAATGCAATAAATCTTGGGATTGGTCTCGTTTGTTGAGGATGTAACCAATGACATGTATTAACTAGACCTGGGGCGGTTCTCGATACTAAGAACAGGAAGATTGTACTTGTGGTCTTGACAAGACCGGTCTTGCTAACTTGCCTACCAAAAACAAACTTGGGGTGCAATGCATCATGGGATTGGTCTTTTTTTGCAAGATTGCAACCAATGTATCCTTGATATTTTGGGCGGGACAAGAACGACATCCGGGGATTTCAACTGTCTTCTGTACTTCTGTTCTTGAGTACTGGAACAGGTCTTTGGCAATGGAAGGTGATGTCAGATTGGTACAAACACAAATACAGTCAAGTATGCATATTGAGAAAGACCCTCTGCTATTAGCTGACTGCAGTGATATGGCCGCCATTTTGGGGAAGTCGAAGCCATCGTTCACTCTGCGCAGCTTTTGGCTGCAGAAACAGGCATGGATCCTGCTGCAGTGATATAACATTTCACCAGTTGGTATGTTTATTGTATATCATTGTATAGTTTTGTATTGACAATCATCTGATATTCCTTTGCAAACATACATTTTATGATCTTCGAAATGCCTACCGTACCCGGGTCTGACCTCATCAAGCGGGCCCAGACACAGTACAGAGTGAGATCACACCGGTCGAACAAACTGGACTTTGGGGGTCAAACTTGCTCGGGAACGGTACGCATTGGCTAGTGTGAGCACATTTCAGTCCTTCAATTTTCATTTTACCGGGTCGGTTTGGAGAAACACATTTATATTCATGAGAGAAGCTATCTGATTGGCCAGTGAACGTGCTCCCTTCGACAAGTCCTGCCAGTTTATTCAGGGTGGTTAGAGAAAACTTACTATTCATGAGAGAAGCTACCTGATTGGCCAGTGTACTCGGCCTAAGGCATTCACTAAGTAGAAGCAATTTTTGTTAACAGTTTTTAATAGGATCGCTGCTCCTGAGTCCCGACACCTTCTGCCCACTGTGCTGGTCGTCTCAGCCACTCCGGTGCTTGTTAAGTGCCTGTGTAATTCGCTTTAAGGACTCTAATAAAAGATCTGTGTTCTTCCCCACAAGAAGCCTTCTCATCAGTTGTTACCACCGTGATGTTTCCGTCTGCCGGTCACTATACTGCATTTTCTGTCGGGTGCTTGTTCAGATCGTGAGTAGAGTGTCTTACTGTAGTAACTAAACAGAGCAGATTGGTTTGATTTTTATGGCTGTTGATGGATGTCAGTATCATGACACAGCAGGCCAACGCATAGCAGAACATTTCACATTTGTAATGTAAAGGATAAAGGGCGTTTATTGATATTCCAAAACATGTTGTACATGAAGAGAACGAAATGAGGTACAAATAAAATAATAAAATAGAAATAAAATCCAAAACAACAGTATTATAGTACAGTGGAACCTCGCATTATGAGTAACACGGTTTACGAGTGTTCCACAAGACGAGCAAAGATTTTTAATAAATTTTGACTTGGAAACCAAGCAAGTCCTGGATTACGAGCGCCAAGTATCATCAAAAATCATATGGCACACATGCGCCCCTTGTTTTTCTTGTTTTTACGTACGCTCAGCTTCAAAATAGGAAGCGCATGCGTGCAGAAAAGCACCACCTGAATAAGGGCGTACCAGTGCGAGCGATGAATCTGTTTCACGACAATGCAATGTCCACATTTTTGCGAAATCGAAAAGGAGGCAAAAGAGGCTGTCATTAGATGGGTTCCTTGTTAAAGTCGCACAAACAGAAAAAGATTCCAGTGAGCCAACAGATAGCAGTGATTCCGTAGGTTATAGTGAAAGTCGTCCTACAAAATAACCCTCCTCTTCTCCTCTCTCGTCTCCCTCACACCATGCACGATTCTTTTCAAAGGTAAAGTGCAGGTTAATTTGTTTTATATATTTTTACTTTGTATTTTGTATTAATAATTTTTATATGAATATTTTTGAGTTGTGGAACGGATCATATGAGTTTCCATTATTTCTAATGGGAAAATTCGCTTTGATATACGAGTGCTTTGGATTACAAGCATGTTTCCGGAACGAATTATGCTCGTAAACCAAGGTACCACTGTACTAGTAAAATACTGTACTATAAGTACTACATCGGATTGTATTGCCTACCCACTTTTATTCTGGCCCACCTGCAATTTCATTTCTGGCTACACCACTGACATATAATGATCCATTTTAAGCACATTTCAGCACCACTTTAATAACTTTCAGTAATTACATCACTTAACACTATAAAGATTATATGAGTGAGTGCCTTTTGACCAGTGGGTGTTATTCTCTGGGATGAGAACGTAAAGAGCACGGGCCTTTCTTCAAAATAGAGTACAAGCCTTATCAATCCCCAGCATTAAGCACTCTTTAGCTTCTGCCAAGGCTATTTATGTCATCATTTCTGCTAAACCAAATTAGCCAAAAATTGTAAGGCTCATAATTAAAATTAAATAACATGGTTGTGCTACACTTACAACCTTCACTGTCAACTCGGCTTGTTTTCCTGTGCTGGAAATCAGCACCAGCAGTATTAGCATTAGAACTTTAGCATCTCTGGGCTTAAAGCTGGTTATGCTGACTCACAGGAAGGTCATTTTGGTATGTGCCTTAGCAAACAATTTCTTGCACCAAAGAAGCATTTCAGCAATCCTTGCAGCTAATGTCACTAGCTTCAGGAAAGCTATGCATGCTATAATTTTGAGTTTTAGAATTAGATGATCAGTTGTCATTGTTGACGCACCACAGCACACAACAACAAAATGTGTCCCCTGCATTTAACCCATATGTGCAGGGGGCAGCTAATTCAGCACCCGGGGAGCAGTTGCTCGCTCAGGGAACCTCAGTGGTGCCTTGCTTGCAGTGGATTCAAACCAGCAATCTTTCAATTACAAGTGCACTTCCCTAACTATTAAGACACCACTGCCATGCTCTTATGCTGTGTGTCTGCTCTTCTCTATGTCTGCTGCTGTGTTGTGATATTTCCCTTCGCGGGATCAATAAAGTTCATCTTATTTTATCATAACAGTTCTTCAAGCCAGAAAATAAAAACGTTTTATTATTTACAACTCAGTATCAGAATCCATAGCATTTCGGAGTAACTTATAAAACATTAATGAGAAGAGGAGTCCAAATTGTTAGGGATATCATCTGAGGAGTAATACTGGCTTACCTGAGAGTGTCACAGTGTTTGTCATTTAACAAGTTTTAAAAAGTTTAACAAACAACAGACGAATGCTAGGGAGTAAAAATTGGCAGATGCGGTATCATTCAGATGGCCTGGGCAGGTTTCCTCACATCATCGATAATGCAGAAAGTCACTGAGGCAGAGGGGAAGGCAGAGGCTGGACACCTTGTGAAGTCGCACCCTCCCGAGATCCTGCCTTATGCGGAACCTGCAGAGCTGAGCTAGAGTGGAAGGGCCTGGGGACGAAAGGAGAGCATGTCAGCCATGATCCTGCCATCTTTATTAGTGCTGTGTCTCTAATCCACCACCAGGGGGCACTCTGCACTCCGAAAACAGCTCAAAAATGTGTAACCCTGGAAACTACACCCATTCTTGCACCGTATATTAATAGCTTGACAGAAGCGTCCAGGCTGGCCTACCTTGTCGAAGCAGCAGCACCCTCGCTGCGGCGCCATTGGCCGGAGCCAGTTCAACGGGTCTCTTCCCGTCGCTGTTCCTTCTCCAGCAGTTGGCGCCGTAGTCTGTGAGCAGCTCAGCGGCGACCGGGCAGTCGACCCGGGCGGCGGCGTGGAGCGGCACGTCCCCGGCCCTCCCTCTGTGCACGTCGGCTCCTGCGGTCACACGCACACAGAGTCACGCTTCCGTTTCACCAGAGGTCGGTGCTTCAAGTCAAGATATGAAAGAAGACAGACCGAGCTGTAAGAGTCTCTCCACACAGTCCGTTCTCCGGAAGAGACAGGCGGTGAACAGCGGCGTTCCCAGCCGTGGAACCTCCGAGTCGATATCCACCCCGCTGGCCAGCAGGAGCTCCATACATTCCCTGTGACCTGGCGAGAAAAAAAGGAAATTATTCCATTAAAAACCAAGGAGCGCCGATAGTGCTTCATGAAGACATCGTGCCGTGGGACAGAGTCGCATTTCATTACCTTTAAACAACACGATGGTAAAACACCATCATACTTTTGTTGCACTTCCCTGAATATTAGACATACGACGGTCAAAACGTTATGAATGGTGCCTAAAATATGGAGATCAGAGAAAATAAATTTGCTTAAATTTAGTCGTCATAAATTCTGATGGTTCACGAGGCCGAGTTGCAGTGTATCTTCCGTAACTTAAAAGCAACGTAAAGCTTGTGTAAGTTCACACATACTTCACGTTGTCAGCTTAGTGCATGCTGCATGTCTACTTTGTAAGCTAGTAATATGAATGAGCAGGGGTCCTATGAAAGCTAATTATTTTGGGGCCCCATCCCAGATCAATCGAATTATGTTCCAAATTTTTTAGAGCCACAGTCACTCAGGGGCCCCTGGAATCTTTCTAACTTTCCTTCGCTTTACACAATCCTGTGAATGAACAGAAAATTACAGTCCTTTTCGGTCTATTAGGATAAGTCACATATTTTTCCAACAGGTGGCAGCTTTGACTCATTTCTGAAAAGAAAAACACTCTTTTGGAGCCTATATTAAGAACCACAGGGCACACCCCCGCCAGGACACACCCCCGCACAGGATGCCAGCGCACCCCATGCCAACACACACACAAACAGTCACAGTATAATACAGGACAAGGCCCTTAACCTCTTTCTCTTTTCTTATCTACATTTCCTGTTTTATTTTGGACACTATAAAAACTCCACTATGGCTAAATGGCAACCCCCCCACCCCCTCCCCCGGGAGATGCGAATTGTCTGGGATTTCCCTTTGTCTACAATAGGGGCTGAAGTGACAGACGTAAATGCAATGCTGAAGCTCTAGACAATCATTATCGGCACCTCTCTTTGCAGCCTCGTGGATGGGGGAGGCCCCTGGGTAGGTGGGATCGGGGGAGGGGCAGCGTTCCAGGAGGAGCCTCACGCAGGCCACGCTGCCGCTGACGCACGCATTGAACAGTGGGGTGGCGCCATCGACCGTCGCCATGCTCACCTGCAAACGGACACCGGTGTCAGAGTCCAAAAAACATTCAGTGCTCTCTGGGTTTAATGCAGCCTGAAAGCTACCCGAGCAGATTTACGCTGGTGGTGTCGTTTTAGCATGAAGCACAGCTTCCACATGAGTGAGAGACGCTTTCTTACATCTGCCCCGCTGTCCAGCAATAGTCTGGCACAGTTAAGGTGGCCTCCAAGACAGGCTTCGTGAAGAGGAGACACTCTGTCCAGGGTGACGATGTTCACGTCAAAACCCTGTACGAAAACGGGAAAAACACATGCAGGAAAAACAATTACTTTAAGAAAACTCAACAAAAAGTTTCTGTTTCATGTTCTGTGTAGAGATGCATTATTTTACGTCGTTGTTGGGTAGATGGCAGCAGAGCTGTGGTTAGTGCGGTCGCCACACTGAGGGAGACACGGGTTCGATGTGTGTGGAGTTTGCATTCTCTCCCCATATTGCTGTGGGGTTCCCTCCAGATTCTCTGGTTTCCCCCCACAGTCCAAAAACATGGTAATGTGTACTGGAGTTGTCTGTAGGTGTGAATGGTGTTCGGGCCCCGGGTTGTTCCCTGTTTTGTGCTCGTGGTGTCTGGGATGGACTCTGGACCCCCATGACCCAGAAAAGAATGTTTGACGAACAAGTCTGTGCCTAGGAGTTCGGATCTGTAATGTATCAGTACCTGTGCCACGAGGGTCCTGAGCACGAGCAGCCGACCATGCAGAGCAGCCTCATGCAACGGGGATCTCTCAGCCCAGGGGTCTGCAACACACAGAATGCAGCAGATACAATGGGATCTATAGGACCCCTCAAAACAATACAAGCTGGAGCTTCGATAGACAAAATATCACCCCATCCAGGCCTTATCAGGAAAAACACTGGAGTTACCTTGATTAACATATGGTAGATTAGGTGGTGTATTCCGAATTTACTATTTTAAAAAAGCATTAAAAGTTTCCAACCTATTCTGTGGTCACTCTTGTATAACATATCTACACCCCCCCCCCCCCGTCCTCAATGTCAAAAATGGATACACAGAAAAGTATACACCCACTGCACAATTGCCACTTCCTGTTTAATAAACAGGATATGGCTGCAAGTGAAACTGTCTGGAGTTATAACCAAAGGAAGAGAAATGATAAGCAAGCTTACCAGCCATTAGCGTGTTAGCGACGGGCGCCCCGTGTCTGTGAGGGTCCGCACTCCACGGTCCTCCCCACAGTGCAGCCTCTGCCTTCAGGCCAGCCATCGCTAATGAGTCTCCCAAAGCACCGCGATCCCAGTCCCATCTGAGCCACAGGGCTCCAGTTTATCAAGCCCTCCTTGGCTAACGCCTCTTTCACTGAAAGGTGTTCCCACTTAAATGACATAAGGGCTTATGCAGATAAGCCTCTTGTAACCTGACTCCAACTGACTGTTAGCCCAAATACCATATAGCATAGCATAGTGAACCATATATTTTTATATATAATTGCTATATATATATATTTATATATTTCTTTTTTTTCTCCCCTTGGGTTACAGTGAAAATATCCAAAGCCGCTTCAGTGTATTTACTTTAAAGTTGTAGAAATCTAAAGCTCTGTCACTGAAATTACCTTTACGGGTGGGGTGGGGTGGGGTGGAGTGGGGTTGGAAAGTGAAAAAAATACAGTGAATGTCTGGGAGATGGTGCCCCAGTCTTCACTTCTGCATTCCTGCATCTCTGCTTATTTAAAGTTACCATTGTTAGTGCCTCACAAGAGGAATCAACGCTGTCCTTCATGGTTTATAGCATATTGCAGCTGTCAGCTAGAATTCCCTTTACCTGTTTAAAGTTTAATTTCCACTTCTGTGTCTTTAGTCACAGGTAAACTTTAAAAAGCTTAACTGTAACTGCGAACTCTGTACTCTGCACAGAACTGTCACGCAAGTATTTTGTACTAAACCTGAAAAACCTCTCGTTATATCTGTCTGTCATGGCAGAAAAAAAACACATTTCAGGCTACACCAAGGTAATCCTGAGGATCTGGATAATGGCTGAAGCCAGACAGGTTTGTACAGTATGAGCAGCCTCGGGGCAGCAACATGCAGCGGTGGGGGTGTGGGGGGGCATTTGGCTGGGCGGGGCAAAAGAATCTCACAAAATACCTTTGAAGGTTGTCATATTCAAAAACATTTTTTTCTTCCCATAGCAACCTCCTGTTGTTCAATGTTATTACATGATATTTGCATATTCATGTTACTATGGCCAAAGAAATATACCTGTTAAACTATAACATTGGAAGCCACATAAAAACAAGTCATTTGCCATTTTCAGATTTAGGAGACATAAAGAAGTTTTTTGGGCCAGTTCTCAATCTAAATGTTCAATACTGACATTAAGTATTAGAATACGAAGCAATTACAGACTTTTATCTCATGAAATGTTTGTAAACAAAGGGTACTTGTGACTTCTGAAACAGGAGCATTCAAGATTATGCAAAGGAAGAACTGTAAACGGTCGAGTTCCAGTTTCAGCCTTGAATCAGCAGGAATGTCTATGCTAATCTACACTCCTCTGGCCGTGGAATGTTTTGACTTTCTCTATAACAAAAGCCATACGGGGTAGCCATTAGCGACGTGCGAATCAGCTATCTGTTGAAATTCAAACTCAGGCTGCTTTTTGCAGTGAATCATTGAATCACTTTGTCAGTAATGGTCACCAGTGACAAATTAATTAAACATTGTTCGCTAACACATTCTGTAGAGGCTGGGTTAATTCAAACAATGTAAAACTTTAAATTTTGAGGTATTCATTTGAAAAAAGTATGTTATGTTGCGATTGGATCATTATGACATAAAGAGCAATTTTCCAAAAATAACAAAAAAAATTGACTGAGTGGGTTTTGGAAAATTGCTCCAATCGCAACATAACATACTTTTTTCAAATGAATACCTCAAAATTTAAAGTTTTACATTGTTTGAATTAACCCAGCCTCTACAGAATGTGTTAGCGAACAATGTCTGCTACAGGGTGCTGTTGAGCTCAGGATGCAGGAAGTCACGGGTAACAGTCCCGTTCTGCAGGCTGCGAGGTCTGGAAGCCGCGGAGGTCTTTACTGACCAGTGTGTCTCGCCACAGCACTGTTTAGTGGCTTCCCATTTTGAGGCCTGCTCTCTTGTATCAAAGCATCATGGGAAAATGGTGTTAGCTGAAACTGAAAACTCAGAGTGTGATTGACTGGGCCCTGGTAATGCCATCTCTCTTAATGCAAGCACTGTGGGAAAGACTTTTAGCCAAAGCAGAACATTCAGAACAAGACAGACAGAATGCTTTGCTGCTGCAAAAGAATAAAAAAGTGCCACGGTTTAAACTCTAAACGGTTTACGAAATCTGAGAGTGTGAACCATGGCCATTAACATGGGAGAACTGACAGGTAACTGATGTTATTCAGTCTAAGAAGGTCCGTTTCATCAGTGGCAAAACCCTGAAGTGGGCCACACATTGCCCTACTCTAGCATCAGCTAGCTTAGCATACACCAGTGCCTAGCAGAAGCTAAGACAGCAGATAAAGAATTTTCTTTGCAAACCAGAGCAACCTTAACTTGATAGTTTTAGCTACCATAACATTCACTGGACTTTTAGGTTATACAATATCTCCCTAAAATCTGACACACTTTTACCATAAGACATTTATGTTAAACTGTGATTCATGTTTAAATAAGCTTTCTTTCGTGATGTAACAGTGCTAGGATTCCAGGATGGTGGTCAGGGAAAATGGTGCCATTGGAGATAAGAACTGGTACTGCTTTGTGGCCAAATACAGCCAGCAGAGGGCGCTTAAAAATAACACATATCAATAAAACAAAAATATTGCTAATTGGCTGACTACCCCAGTTCCATTAGTATCACGTATAAAAGTGTTTATTTATGTTAACAATTTCATCCTTACAAAAGAAAGAAACAAAAGAATTTAGAACAAAAACGAGGAAGGTGGTTTCATCCTGTTGAACTTACTGCTTATTGCTGCCAAACTTATCAACTTCCATTTTCGATATATATTCAGTCTCTTTAAGCTATACACATCATTTCAGAAGTTTTTTCTTTTTCAAAAGGTCAAAATGTTTACTTTTTAATTTCATCAACTTGCATCCAGTCATCTGTTTATCCAGTAAAGGGTAGTGGGTTTTGTTAATATTATTACATTTAATTATTGTAATTGTTTTAGTGGAAGCAGAATTCTTCAGCCCTAAGGTGGCCTGTCTAACTTTAGCATAATTCCAGTATAAATCGTTTTGGTTGCATTTTGTTACGGACAAACTGGCACTGCAATCATTGCACCAAATGATTTTACATTTCCAGTTGCCACTTGTCGAGGCCAATGGTTCAGTGCTTAAACATAGTTTTTCCACAGGTGATAAAATTTGTTGAGCAAGTGTGATTTGTACTAAAATTCACGACGAATCATGACTTTTCGTGGATCAATATGGGATACACAATTTATTTTTCAGTACAGCACACTGGGTGGCAAATCTACCCTCGTTCTGGTGGAATACTGACAGACACACAGACTGGTACAAGAGATTGGGATCCCCTAATTTAGAATTTGGCATCTCAGCATGTGGATTTTATCCAGCTGCTGCTTACTTAGTCCATTTAAACTTGCAGAGCCTTTTCAATGGAAGGACAAGCCTGCATAATGATAATGGTGGTGACCAAACTGCTGTATTTTATGAAGGTTTATCCAAGGCATAGGAGAGAATGTCAAATATGGGGGACACAACTTAATAATTTAACTGCAAAGGTATAATTAAATATTATGGAGTACATGCCTCCCCCCTCCCCTTGGGGGAACTGGTACTTCCCCCAAATCCCTCAGTATCCATGGTGTCTGATTAGTTTCCTGTTCCCTTTTTTAATCCTTAACCAGCAAATGTGTATTGTATGTATTTCCTGATTTAATTTACAGCGTGTATATTACACCACATAATTTTTTAATGCACAAGAATGTTCTGTTTTTCGGCACCATAATCTGACATAATAAAGTGATGAGAAAAGAGAAGAAATGCACCAAGCACTACCTGTGTAATTTGGGTAGACTGCCGTCATTTTCAGCCAGATGTGTCATAAAGTCACAAGGCTGCTTTTATTCCTCTCCTAGCGTTCTGGTTGCCATATTGGTGAGGCTGAATGCCAGAGAAAGGCTTTGTCACAATTCAGGGGCTACAGCTTCTAAGACCAAGTGCATCAGCCCCTCAAATGCAGTGCAGAAACGCCTCCTTCTTCTCCTGTGCTGTGAAGAATCCACCTGATGGATCTTTCGGCAGCCCAACTTATCCAAAGATTTGTTGTGCAGATTTTTAGAAGGATTGAGCTTAAAAAGGATGAAGCCATTGAACTGGGCACAGCTATACTCTCCTTTCTTATTCATCTACTATATTTTATTGTGCTGATTGAGAAGGACACTGGTTAAAATTTGATATATGATCCCAGGTCTTGAGCAGGAAGGCAGAAAAACTGATTTTATTTTATATTAACCAGTTATGGATTTGGCTGCTGTACTTTGCCTTATTATTTGTGTTGTATTAAGTAAGTAGTCTAGAGATGACTTACAGTACAGGATAGGATGTGTGTAGGTTATATGCAAATATTGGACCATTTTATGTAAGGGACTTGAGCATCCAGAACCTGAGGCACAGGCAGGCAGGCAGGCAGGGCATGACAATTGGGGCACCTATTTATGCTTGAGGGGACCCACTTTTCTGAATTCCGGATTTGTTCCTCTTGAAGTTCCGCTAAATAGTAATTCATTAATTTTGAACGTTATGTTATGTTCCCACTCTGTTACTTAATGCAAAAAAGCAGAAGTTGAAGGAAGTCTTAAAAGCGTGAGGACAAGTGAATGAGAGACATTCAGACCTAATCATGGAGAAGAAGGTTTGCCCTCATTGTCTTCTCTGTCTCTTTTCCTTACGTTCTCTGATGGCTCCTGTTGTGAGGATGTTTTTCATTTACTTTTATCTGTTTCCTTGAGTATTAAGTTTGGTTGTTTTTAATGTATTCTTTCAGGACACTCCTGTAACTGGAGGAGCTGTAATACAGCACACATTTCAACAGGGGGAGCATCACTATGACATCAAGAAAGTCGTTAAAAATAAAATGACTAATAGACGTAAATCTTTTTTAAGGTAAATCTAATGGACGTAAATCTTTTGTGTGGTAGCGTGAAACATTTTGCTGTGATGTTGCACAAGTGTTACACAGAGTAACTGTCTCCTTCTCTAAACTGAACGTACAGATCATACTCAGCACTCTGAAACAAATCATTTTATTTATCTATCGCACATTCCTCCAATACGCTTTCGTTGTATTTTTGTCTTACTCATTTCTTGTTTCTTGGATTTCATGTTTATTTTTTTACTGTCCTATGTTTTCATATGTCTTCTTTCATATTTTTCTTCTATGTCTTACATATCTGCATATCTGCATTTCGTTTTAATCATTTTTTGCACTACGACCAAGAAGAACATAATTTTGTCTCTGTCTGACCCATGCATCATACGACTGAGACCACAATAAGATACTTTGATGTCTTGTTAGCATGCGTCATCAGACTCAGTGTGTTTCTAGAAACCGTCTTAGGAAATTACAACACACTTTTTCGACTCTTTGTGTAACAACATATTTATTGGTTGATTACTAATAATTAATCATTTAAAGGACATATTGTGTATTGTTATGTTAAAGAACACAACAGAAATGTCAGCTGATTTTTTATGCTCTTGTAGCAAAGGAGACAAGCTTCTGAAGATTAACGACATGGACCTGCGTGATTTGCCCCCAGAGCTGTTTGCAGAGTTGCTGGCCGAGAGCTCTCCTAGGCTGGTGAGTGACCACATCCTTCCTGTGAAACTGCTAAATAATAATAAAAAAAAAATCCATTAAATTTACGGTAAATTACTGGCAGTTGTGGTTGCCAGAATTACACCATAAAATTACAGTAGTACCATTTAATATAATACAGTACATATTATTATTCTGTATAATAAACTGTTTAAATCCGTATTGTTCCAAACGTTATCAGATTATTATAAAATATTATGTTTTTTAGGTAAAACTAACAGTTCAAAACCACAAAAACTACAAATTGTAACTGCAAAATGTACAGGAGCAGATTTTCTACTCTATTGTAGTATCCATTGATTCTGTCATGATGCTACATAACAAATGCAGTCAGGTTAAAACTCATAGACCTTAACAAGACTGTAAATCACACCAATCATCACAACACCAGCTTGTATAATAGCATACAAGAACAGGCATTACTTATAACAGGAGGAACAGGGGGAGGGTCACTGTACGAACAATGGGAACTACACATGGTGGGTAACTTATACGCAGTCAAACACACGGGGATAAAGCTTAAAATTAAGCAGGGCACCATTGAAGAACAGACAATGCATGGAACCTGGAACATTAACTACATTATCAGCACGACAGCGCAGCATTCTGGGACACATGCAAATAGGCCAAACGGTGCTTGGCTCACCGATGCCACAGTATAAATTCTACTGTAAAATTACAGGAGCACTGTTTAATGTATAACGGTATACCTTGTGTCCATAAACTGTAGAACTACATATTTAAAACTGTATTGTAACACGTATTCTCATGTCATTATCATGTTACAGATTACACCAGTAACTGAAGCAAAAAAAATAATGAATGTTACAACTAAAAATAGTATTAAATAAAGATAAATTTTATACTTACAAATATTTTATATATTTTTAAAAGTATTTTACCTGATTGATATTTACAGTATTTTCCTGTTATCATTTAAGGTATTTTACAGTATTTTTTGCAGTCAATGTATTAAATACTGAAATATTTTGTATTTACATTTACAGTTCTTTTCTGTATTTGACACAGTATTTCCTGATTGTTAAGCATTTAAGGTATTTTTACCATATTTTTACGGGCATTTTTTAATTTTCATTAGAAGACTGCATTCCTGACCCTCACTATCCAGATTATGTTTCTGTGAATGTACATCTTTACATTTTCATTTGGAAATGTAATCGAAGCACCAACACCTGACATAGAATCAAGCGCTGGAATAGTACAAACCCCCCAGTGGTACAAAATGTTCCTTGGAGTCCATTTCTGTACCTTAAATTAGACTAAAAGGTACAGTATATTTACTTAAAGCTAGGGTACAACTGGTAGACCATTGAAGATGCAGCACAAGTGACAAGTAATTGTACCCTCAAAGGTACAAATTGGTCCATTTTCTTTTGACAGTGCAGGCTATGGGCCCAGATCTGTCTCAAGAAATAAATGTGTGGTCCTTCAGGTGCTTCTGAGCTATTTTCCATCTTGGTATGCCCCAAAGTTCTTCTGCTTAATCTGACATTTGCTCGAATTTTTTATTTTTGTAAATATCATCATTATTTCACATTTCAATCATTAGGTTATGCTAATTTTTGTGTTTTTTGTCATATAGTCTCAAAAATTTTAAATGGCTTTTATAATGGTATAAATTCATCTCTTGAGGGTTAAGTTTTGTCTCCCTTATGATATGATACTGATGCACGAGCTTGGGCCTCCATTACAAAGACAGTTTTTTTTTTTGAGGGAGTTTGTAATTTGAAGATGAGAAAATGAGAGCCACGGAGTCTGCTTATCAATCAGGCTGTTTAAGAAGATGTTCAGTCCCATTCCTCATCCAAACACGCTAACAACTATCTTGAAATTATGAACTGGATTTAAATATATATACTGTAGAAATACTCAAATATAGAACAGCCAATAAAGCTGTCAACCTATTAATCTGACGTATGACAGTGGCCACTCACATGACGTTTCTTGTTGATGCTCGATACAGACGGTCTATCAGCCCCACAAAGATGCCCCTAAAGAGAAGTGTCCGGAGAATTCCGGAGGGTTCCAGGCTTTCTCTAAGGAGGATACGGTCTTGAGTTTCAGCCTAGACTTGAGCAGAGAGGCTGACCCAGACGATGTGACAAAAGACGACTTTCACGAAGCAGCCAAGCCAGAAAGCCAGCTGGATGAGCTGCTGCTGGTCACCATGCTCAGCACCAGCTTCTCCGTCATCACTGGACGTGGGTGTGACAAGGAAGGCCTCTGTCAGGATACGTTTTGTACAGAGTGCAACCTAAACGATGTGATTATGGAGGCAAAGTCGAGCAATATCACCCAGGGTAAGGCCTGTCAGCAGCTCCAGGGACTTTTACTTACACAAAAATGTTCTGAGGGCAGAAGGAAAAATGATTGGTTTACAGAGAGAGATGACCAATCAGATTATAGCGGGGGTGGATCCAAGCAACCAGAGGAGGTGGGACCAACCAATCAGATGTCTTGGTCCCACCTCCTCTAGATGGATGAACCTGTCAGCAGTAAGTATTCAGAGCTCTCTGCTCTGATCAGCCCCAAGCACTGTCAGTAATTAACATTAGATACTCTTTCACTGTGTCAAATCAGAACTCAATGTTGTTTATTTCACTCTATATCAATATGCCTTCCATCCCTGACATTTCCTGTAATGATGCCTACTTTGCTTTAGATTGTAAAAGATCAAACTCTGGGATTTTGTTGGAGTACAGCATGCCACATATGGCAACATGACATTTCCCCTTCTTTTTCCTTTTACAGTACTCAGAGAATTAAAGTTTATCCAAGAGAAAGTTCAGGACAACATCTTCATCCAGAGTTTAATGTACGAGAAGTACATCCAGAACAGACAGAGGTTTGCACGCATGTCTAGTAACTGCATGACAAACTCAGGTTAGTGATCAAAAAAATATATAGCAGATGCCATGTGGTTTCCATCATTGTTTGTTGCCGGGTGTCTGACACATTCTTACCATTTCAGTAAATATCACCATCTATTTCTACAAAACTACCTGCATCGAAGGGGAATACAAAGGAATTCCTGTTGTCCTGAATTTCTCTGGCACAGACTGTTTTTTGAAATGCAGCAAAACTGGTGACAAGCCGACTATCAGCATTGAGGTAATCACACACAGTTCAAGTATCACTTTGTCTGAAATAATATTTCTGACATCTAGATGCAGCAGAATGAGTTGAGACAGGGATCTTTTGCAGTGTTTTGTGCAATATTACACCCCATTACTTGTGCATATAGCAGAGTAGTGATTCAGTAGTGAACCTCACATATGTTACAGCTTACAGCATCGAAAACACAGATGCACTGATTTAAGCATATAATTGCTGAATCGGTTCGTTTTTTTCTTCAGAGCTGCGAAAAAAAAAAATTGAAGGACGTCCATGAGGGCGATAAGGATATTGTGGGATTTCTCTTTTACATGAAAGCAGTCCAGCCAGACATGCGGCGTTTCGAGTCCGTCGGCTGCTCAGGCTGGTACCTGCATGCAAAGAAGGAGGAAGTGGAGGTGGAGCACTTCGTCATGGCGGATGAGGCCTTCTACTTTTTCATTGAGGGGAAGTAGAAATCGTTAGATGCCTTAAACATGAATCCGTGCGTGACATGAAATTATTTGACACACCATTTTGTGCACTGCTAAAAACAGCATGTGCTTCTTATATCAAGAGGTAGTGTGTTTATCGCAAAAAAAAACACTTTTTAGGCTATCAGCCTTTTATAAATGCATTTCTGACAGAGCAGAAGAAGAAAGTCTATGAATCTGGCTTTGGACTGTTATTGTTTTAAACACCTTACGTAACTGGGGTGAATTTTACCGTTCTACCGTTGTACTGGGCTGACTGTGTTGTCTAAAGCTGGAGTGTCTCAGACTGTAAGGAAAGTCAGAAGTAACATTTCAGTATCTAGTCTTTTGGATGAGTATTCGCATATTATGTCAGATGCTAAATCATTTACCATGTTTTACATCTTTTGTATGTGCTTTTAGGTAAAATAATGCGCAATTAAATTATTTTAATTCAATATTTATTCCTTTATCCAAGCCCAAATGTATACATTAATTTATACATGTCTGCTTTTACAAAGCCCAGCTAGTTGTTTATTAATGTGAAACGTATTATGTGCTAGAGAGAGGTGAGTTTGAGGACGAGCTACACGTGTGTAACTCATTTTTCCGAACAGGCTTGTAGTGTAGGTCAGTGACCTCGTTTCTCCTCTGAGCACTGATCCATGTATACAGCTGCATGTTACACAGGGAGCAATTCAGGTTCAATATTAGGCTAAAGAAAGAGAACCTTAAAGTGATCTTAACAATCGTCATCACATTCTAATGAATATTATAACCAAACACATACAGGCGTTTATATTATGTTTTTATGTTAATTCAGAGTATGATACTCTAATGCAGATGTTTACATTATATATAGTGGATATATATAAACATTATGTTCCATTGTCTGTGTTGAAAAGTTAAAATCTTGAACTGAAAATGATTTTTTCCTCTTTAAGTAAAAGCACTTGCATATATATAGTTGCAGTTCTCGTTTTATTTCTGGACTTTTCCAACCACTTATCAAAATCCCGTTTGATCATCAGTATCATGTTCAAAATTCTGGTTTATCACTCCTTCGTTATGATTTTCATAAGGGTTTTCAGCTGGGTTTTCAGCTTCCTCTTTCTTGGATTTTCTGTGAAAAAGATCGGAAGTGTTATCTGGACATCTGTCTAAGGCTTGAATAACTGACAGCAACAGAATTCTCATTTCACGCTTAGTACAGTATGTTTGCGCCTCAGCCAGCGCAACATTGTAAATGCATTTCAGTCAGTAAACACGTGTGCTGACATTTCTTTAAATTGTCATACGTTTGCTCTGGTGACGACACTCACCGCTTCCTGTCCCAGACGCCAGAGATGATTAGGTATGTCCCAAGCAGAAGTGAAAGACCCATGATAACTCCGAACACCACCAGCCACACTGTCACCGCAGGCTCCACAGGTGGGGACAGAGTGGAAATGATGCCTTCAAACTCCAGCGTCTTATCATCAAGCAGGAATGCGCTGTTGATTCTGCCTCTGGATAGCCTGTGCACACCAGTAACATTGTATTTGCTGTTCATTTTGGGAGGTGACCCCATTGCACTGATTATAAAACTTTGGTAAGACAAATTTATGTTTTAGAATTACAAAACTATGGCAAAGGTCTGATCATACTGGTAATGACTGGTTGGGTGCAGACTATAGCATCCAGGCTAGGACTTTTGAGAATGCATAGAGTGACAGTGTGAGGTCTTCTGTTGATTTCCATAGGACTCGTATAACTTCCAGTTTATGCCCATTCCTTGTACCCCTTAAAGCCCCCCCATAATTCCTGGATAAGTGGGCAGATGATGAATGGATAATGACTGCAGGATAATGACCCATGACTACGGGTTTGATTAATGTCTGAGGGTTGATGGACTGAGTTAATCACTATAGGATGACAAACTGTGTCATCTGGCTATATCTCTGTGGGCTGGGGTGTAACATATCAGATTTTATTAATATGTAAAGCCTGATGGTCTGTGACATTGAGTTTGATTAATCTGTGTAAGGTGATTGCTTGTGATATTGGTTTCAATTAATCTCTGTAGTTCAGTGGCCTGTTTTTTTTTAATTATTAATCACTACCCTCTTGGTATAAATCAATGCTACACTGATACGTATCTAACTTTTGAGAATCATAAGACTTCCACGTACAATGCAGGCCGTGCTCTCATGAGTCACTAGAGAAGGTCTCACCGAATTGCAGATTCCACTACTTCCTTTGGGATGAGCACCACTGGGTCGACAGGATTTGTCACCACAAAGTAGAACGAGATCCTTGGTTTAACTTGGTAAATGTGGACGTTGTCTGACCTGGGTATTTCAAAATGTAGTTTCCACCCAAAGAACCACAGATTACTTTTTAATACATCATTACAATTTGCGCTGAAACATTTGCTATTAGGTTATTTCAAACTAAGAAAAGCAAAGGTTGAGGTAGTCTTAAGGTAGGCTTAATTCGTTCTTAGATCAATATGTACATAGATAAGGAAGAGCGTCCTTTATTGCTGAGCAGTCTTTCTTACATGAAGTTCAGTGTCTGTACCATCTCCAGGGCATAATAATGCCTCATAGCATAGGCAATGGTGGCTTTGAAAAGGTACAATTCATTGTCGTTCCATTGGTACTGCAAAGAAGGACAAAGACGCTATACTGACTGCATTTTACATAAGTCTTAAATTAGGGATATTCTGAGAAATACAGCTCAGGAAAAAATTACGAGATCACTCTATATATTTTTAAAAATCTGCATTTTTAAATCCGGGTCTAATAGTGGTTCTGCTGGCAGAAGCCTAAACTGAGCAGCAGAATGCTTCCAGGTTCTAAATTTCTAAGACAGCAGTGCACAAGAACAAGGTGAAGTAGGAGACACTGGGAACAACCAGAGACCAGCCAGGCAGAGGGCAGAAGCAACTTTCTAATGCCACAGATGGTCGTCAATTTATCCAACGGTGCCTTATAAACAGGAGGGTGAACTTCAAAAGGAATGGGACACATTAAGTGGTGTGAAGTGCACTGCTAGGACAAATCGTAACAGGCTCCTAGAAGCAGGACAGAAGTCCCATAAAGCAAGGAAGAAGCCCTTCATCAATGAGAAACAGGGAAGAGCCAAGCTGGAGTTTAAAAAGAAGTATATTTGACAGAGACGCATACCCATAAATTGAGGAATGAGTGAAAGTGAAAATGTTGCTGTGGTCTCTTAATTTTTTCCAGAGCTGTATATACAAAAAATTACAAGGATTACTATCGACTGCAAAAACTTGTTGTAGACTCACAGCTTGATCACCCATTGCAGCCTTAAGACTCAGTCTGACTTTGAAGGCCTCTTTAGAGTCTGTGTAGTAGATAAGCTCATTAAGAACCTTCACGGATATCAATCCAAAAGTGACCAAAAGTGTTCTCGATTTATTTTCATGTTCTTACATGGATCTGCTGCGACATTCCATCCTGGAAACCTGTTGTTCTTACGGTTCTCCTCCTGTAGCCATATGTGTAGATCTCTGAAGTACTCCAGGAGCGGCTTTGAGTCCATCCTGGTCACTCCAGACACTTGCTCCAGAGCTCTGGTCCATGACTTAGATTTTCCCAACTCCAGCATGGCCCTGAAGTACAGTATGCAGATACACCATTGCAGCAAAGTTCCACGGATGTACAATAACATTGTTATTCAGACTTATGTTTGAAAATGAGATTAAAGCAAGAGGTTTCATTAATGTCAATAGGGGGACATCTGCTCAAATGTGTTTGTCCTTTTTTTCCGTCTGAGGCATACAGATTAGAAGGATAAATTCATTACACCCAAGTGTCACCTTTTACATTATACAACTGCAGTATACATAATATTTAACTGGAAGTTGTTGTTTACCTAAGTTTTTCACCGGCTGGCTTGGAATTGGTGATGTCACACTTGAATAAAGGTCCAGTGTGACCGGCAGTTTCACACAGGGAGGCCTGGAACTGGAACTGGTAGATGGTTCTGGTAAAATATCTGCAGGATCCATGAAGAAAAGGCAGGTAGCTTTAGGTGATACGTTTGCTGATGCTGTGCTGATGTCATAATCTGGCTATTTTAGCATCGTTTAGCATCTTGGTTTTTTGTACTGGTTATACAGGTATGTGATGATGGATGAACACGGCACCTAATGAATGAATAATCATTGGCTACGTGGAATAAGGCAGCTGGGTCACAGTATGTCTCGTCTCTGGGTAGAGGCTCCACCACACCAACCATGTCTCTCCTGTGGAAAACACAGTTCATTAGTATTCACCACTGTTGTGCAGCGAATGTTGGAGTAACTGATTCGACGTAACGGAGGCCTTACTTCATCTCCCACCACCTCTGCATCCACTGGTCTTTTGGGATGGTGCCTTGGAAGACTTCCCATCTCCATTCCTCCAGCATGTATGTGAAAGGCAAGGTGGCCACAATTGTCAAAGCCTGCTTCATCAGGAAGTTAATCTCTGTCTCTGCAGATATCAGTAAGTTATATCAATAGTGCTAGTGGTACTGAGATGGCATCTGCCTCCATAGATACCGGAATGTCCTAGAACCTTCTATCACCAACCTTTCATTGATATTCTCATATATTTAGAACATCTCATATATATGTACATATCTATTATATCTACACATGTTTCCTTGGTAACGCTAAGGCATAATCACTATACAATGCTTTAATCTATTACTGTCACACCCTGCTCCGTACGATCCCGATGTGTGCCACGCCCCCCTCATT